TCTCAGGAGCACTAAGGCAGGTGGTGACAAAATCTCTCAGCATTTGCTTGTCTGTAAAGAATTTTATTTCTCCTTTGCTTATGAAGCTTAGTTTGGCTGGATATGAAATTCTGGGTTGAAAGTTCTTTTCTTTAAGAATGTTGAATGTTGGCTCCCACTCTCTTCTGGCTTGTACAGTTTCTGCAGAGAGATCTGCTGATAGTCTGATGGGCTTCCCTTTGTGGGTAACTTGACCTTTCTTTCTGGCTGCCCTTTTTTCCTTCATTTCAACCTTGGTGAATACGACAATTATGTGTCTTGGGGTTGCTCTTCTCGAGGAGTATCTTTGTGGTGCTCTCTGCATTTCCTGGATTTGAATGTTGGCCTGTCTTGTTAGGTTGGGGAAGTTCTCCTGGATAATATCCCAAAGAGTGTTTCCCAGCTTGGTTCCATTCTCCCCGTCACTTTCAGGTATACCAATTAAATGTAGGTTTGGTCTTTTCACATAGTCCCATATTTCTTGGAGGCTTTGTTCATTCCTTTTCATTCTTTTTTCTCTAATCTTGTCTTCTTGCTTTATTTCATTAGGTTGATCTTCAATCTCTGATATTCTTTCTTCTGCTTGATCAATTTGGCTATTGATACTTGTATATGCTTCACGAAGTTCTCATGCTGTGTTTTTCAGCTGTATCAGGTCATTTATGTTCTTCTCTAAACTGGTTATTCTAGTTAGCAATTCGTTTAACCTTTTTTCAAGGTTCTTTGCTTCCTTGCATGTGGTTAGAACATGCTCCTTTAGTTCAGAGAAGTTTGTTATTACCCACCTTCTGAAGCCTACTTCTGTCAATTCATCAAACTCATTCTCTGTCCAGTTTTGTTCCCTTGCTGGAGAGGAGTTGTGATCCTTTGGAGGAGAAGAGGCGTTCTGGTTTTTGGAATTTTCAGCCATTTTGAGCTGGTTTTTCCTCATCTTTGTGGATTTATCTACCTTTGGCCTTTGATGTTGGTGACCTTCAGATGGGGTTTTTGTGTGGATGTCCTTTTTGTTGATGTTGATGCTATTCCTTTCTGTTTGTTAGTCTTCTTTCTAACAGTCAGGCCCCTCTGCTGCAGGTCTGCTGGAGGTCCACTCTAGACCCTGTTTGCCTGGGTATCACCAGTGGAGGCTGCAGAAGAGCAAAGATTGCTGCCTGTTCCTTCCTCTGGAAGCTTCGTCCCAGAGGGGCACCCACCAGATGCCAGCCAGAGTTCTCCCACATGGGGTGTCTGTAGACCCCTGCTGGGAGGTGTTTCCCAGTCAGGAGGCATGGGGGTCAGGGATCCACCTGAGGAGGCAGTCTGTCCCTTAGAGCTCAAGCGCCGTGCTGGGAGATCCGCTGCTCTCTTCAGAGCCGGCAGACAGGAACATTTAAGCCTGCTGAAGCTGTGCCCACAGCTGCCCCTTCCTCCAGGTGCTCTGTGCCAGGGAGACGGGAGTTTTCTCTATAAGCCCCTGACTGGGGCTGCTGCCTTTCTTTCAGAGATGCCCTGCCCAGAGAGGAGGAATCTAGAGAGGCAGTCTGGCTACAGCAGCTTTGCCTAGCTATGGTGGGCTCCAACCAGTTCTAACTTCCTGGCGGCTTTGTTTACACTGTGAGGGGAAAACCACCTACTTGAGCCTCAGTAATGGCAGATGCCCCTCCCCCACCAAGCTCAAGCATCCCAGTTCAAGCTCAGACTGCTGTGCTGGCAGTGATAATTTCAAGCCAGTGAATCTCAGTTTGCTGGGCTCCATGGGGGTGGGATCCACTGAGCTAGACCACTTGGCTCCCTGGCTTCAGCCTCGTTTCCAGGGGAGTGATCGGTTCTGTCTTGCTGGTGTTCCAGGCACCACTGAGGTATGAAAAAACTGCAGCTAGCTGTCTGCCCAAATGGCCATCCAGTTTTGTGCTTGAAACCCAGGGCCCTGGTGGTGTAAGCACCCAAGGGAATCTCCTGGTCTGTGGGTTGTGAAGACCATTGGCAAAGTGTAGTACCTGGGCTGGAATGCACCATTCCACACGGCACAGTCCCTCATGGCTTCCCTTGGCTAGTGGGGAGATCCCCAACCCCTTGCATTTATTGGGTGAGGCAATGCCCTCCCCTGCTTTGGCTCACCCTCTGTGAGCTGCATCCACTGTCTAACCAGTCTCAATGAGATGATCCTGGTACCTCAGTTGGAAATGCATAAGTCACCCACCTTCTGTGTTGATCTCGCTGGGAGCTGCAGACCGGAGCTGTTCCTATTCAGCCATCTTGCCAGCCACCCCTGGCTGCTGTCAAGTTAATCTTTCTAGACTTCAAATTTCCTCATGTAAGTTCCTTTCTAGATCAAAACTCCGTAATTCTAAGTCTCTAGGTTAGACATAGGCTGATTGTGGGCAGAAGCCTCTAGTTACTCCCCATGCCTTGAAACGGGCAACTGACATCTCAAACATGAAATTTAGAGGGGAAAGGCTGCTTGCTGCTGGAATAGCTCCTCTTTTGATATCTCGTGGGGTTTTTTTTTTTTTTTTTTTTTGGAGACAGTTTCACTCTGTTGCCCAGGCTGGAGTGCAGTGGTACAATCTCAGCTCACTGCAACCTCTGCCTCGTGGGTTCAAATGATTCTCATGCCTCAGCCTCCTGAGTAGTTGGGACTAACAGGTACATGCCACCAAGTCCAGCTAATTTTTGTATTTTTAGTAAGAGACAGGGTTTCAACATGTTGGCCAGGCTGGTCTTGAACTCCTGGCCTTAAGTGATCCACCCACCCAAGCCTCCCAAAGTACTAAGATTACAGGCATAAGCCACCCCCTACCCCAGGCTTTTGGGGTATTTCTGGATGGGAGATGGGTAGTATTGGCTACAAGCCACTAGAGGTGAAACCAGAGTCGTTTTTAGTAAAGCCAGTCCCTCTTCCATCCCTAAGGAATTTAGCACCAGCATTTTCCTTTATGTTCTCACTCATTTCATTTCACATACCTCAGGCTCCCACTTCCCATTCAACATTCACTGGGGACCTCCATTACTGCAAACAGCTCTTGAATGCCAAAAATGTTGAGGGTGGGGCAGGGAACTGTTCAGAGTATAGATGTCAGTCCATCTTTTGACAATACAATAAAATTAACTCTAAAACACACAGCATCTACATATCTTTTGTACATTTCTTTATCACTGTTCCTGCCCATACACAGAAATCTACTCATTTTCAAACGATGTATCTACTTTGATTCTTTGCTGACAGTTTAGTTAACTACTAGACAAAGCCCACCTTTTTGGAAGAAGGTATAATAAGTAAACAGATTGACAGGGTGGCTATCCCAGTCAAAGCCAAGTAGTCAACATGTACAAGCCTCTCAAAGGCTCTTTCTTCACACCAACTGAAATGAGGTATTATTAATTACTAAATAGGCTTCTTTCAAAGTGTGTTGACACTCATTTGAAAGAAGTTTGAGATAGTTTTGTCTAAATGATTCTCTATCCAGCCACAGGCAAATGAGATTCTGAAACAGCCTTAGCACAGTTATTTCATAATCCCCATCTAGTTTGCAAGGTGTAAAATTAGTCCCTGTCAGATTATGAAACCAACTATCAAACTTGCAAAAAGGCTACCCAGTTTGGGCAGACTTCCTTCTGGTATCTGGGTGCTATTATAGGGAGGGTTACAGTTTAGCTTACTAAATGTGTATTTCCATCAACCCTTATGACATATTGCTTCTACCAGATTCATCTTGCCCCAAACTTAGTTTAAGTGAAGTGTTCACCTGGAAAAGTAAAATATAGTATCAGATTTGGCAGCTTCTTTAAAGGAAGAATCAAAAGTGCCAGCACTTCACAATGAATTTTCTTCTTTTGAAACACATTTTGTCTAATTATCTAAAATTATATGAAAAACAGCTCCACCAGTTCATACCAATTGAGCATCACATATATATATAATATTTAACCATCACATGATATTTAACTGTCCACTGACCCTCCATATAACTCTCTACCTGCCTTCTCCAATAAAGATGTGTGATACAAAATCACAAAAGCCCAAAACTGTTTCATCAGTTGGATTAACTATCAGTGATGTTTCCAGATTACTTTTGTCTTTTTTTGTCAATTACTGTATCCTTACATTTTTTCTTACAGATATATTGGAATCAGAGGTGAATCTGAGCTTTTAAATTGTACTACATTTAAACATGTTTTCCCTAAGGCTTTTAAACAGAAAATGATCAGTAAAGACTTTTGGTTTGTCTCATGATAATACTCTGAATGTATTTCTGTATTTACCCCCCTCCGACCCCCTTCCTTAGTGGATACTTTGCTAATTAAGTAGTTGAGAAGGAAAGAGGAGAAATTCCTTATTGTAGAAAAAGAGAGAGGAACCAGGAGACCAGCTCTGTCATTTAATGCCAAAAAAGGAGGCCTTAGAAGAGCAGCTGTGTGGGTGAGAACCTTGTTACATGAAGCAAGCTCACTATTTACATCTCTTTCTCAGATTTTACTTCTAAGAAATGATTCTGTTTTGGGGGTTAATTCTGTGAGTAAAATATTTTTAAAATCTGGGAATAAGTCTGGTAAAAAAATTAACCATCATTACTCACATTTTAAAATTTTACCTTCAGTCTTTTTTGATGATTTATATTATGAGCTCAACAGACTACCACATCACATTTCACAGAATTTGACCTCAGAGAACATGTTATATAAATACTTAAAGAATGCCACTGTGGAACGATTGCTACATTAAGGCTCTTGGGAACTGTGATAATTATAGAGATGGCTCAGCTACATTTCAGAAACTGCCTTTACTGCAAACAGCTTAATTTTTTTTGAAATGTAAAAGTATTCATATGACCAAAGCTTCAGGGTGTAGATTTTCTTATTGATCCCAATATTTCAAAGACATGATGATGCTCTATGATATAGAAGACTTCAAGTTAGAAAGCAGCCCTAAGAGTCAAACATCCTTTTTTTCTGGAGACAGGAATGTGAGACTATTTTGTCTTGCCAAATATGGATCACAAACATTAGTTTTTCAATTTTCATTTATCAGTCATGATAATGTACAAGAAAAACAAACACACACAAAAAACAAATTCCTTTAAACTACATTAAAAACAAAGGTGAACAAAACAACACAGAATAAAACAAAATCAAGAAAAATCAAGATCAACAGTAAATATCAATACTTACACATCAAAGTAGACTGTTAGCATAATAAAGCTAACATATAGCCACAGAAAGACAAAAGTATCAACAACAATCAAGATACAATTTTGTGTCAATACCTCCTCATTTTGGCCTGGGAGTTCATCAAGGCCTAAGCGGCTGGATTCTGTTTTTCTCCCTCCTCCCCTCCCTCCCTCATGCTTCCATCCTTTTCACACTGGGGTACCAGTGTAGGAGGCTCCTGGATGTAGCTAACCGTGCGGCAGCACCTAAGGCAGCAGTGGCTGTACTTCGAGGAATGTAGAGCTTCTGAGAAATCTGGCACTCATAAGACAAAATCAAAGACAGCTGGTCCATGGATTCTTGGCTCTTGTCTTTGTACACTGTAACAGCATGGCTGCTAGAAAAATCTTCATTCTTTAGGATCTCTGGTGAGCTTTCCACTGGAAAAGAAAGAGTACACAAACATCTTTTCACGGGGTTCTCATACTTACTGCCTTCTTTCCCCCATTCTAGTTCTATACTAATTGGTATTACAATCATTTTCTGTTAGGTCGCGACAATTACCAATGGTTAATCAGAGAAGATGAGACTTAGAAACCAGTCAACAAATGGAAAGGAAATGGGGAATCATGAATTGAGATAAAATAAATCTTGTCAGGATGAAGGTGAGAGAGGGAAAATATACTTATGAATAAGGAAGGGATGCTTTATTTCTAGGAATGTCATAAAAATAAATTGGATATAATAGAAATCCCAGAGAAGAGCCCATAAGTGCTTCTATTTCCTTCCAGCACTAAGCTGAATGGTGTCCCACAGGCATTCTCTCTGTTGCCAAAGTTGTTCCAATTCCAAGTCTGTGCCAGGATAAAAATAAAACCATCCTAGACTGTGGTTGCTAAGAAGTCCCCCAACCCAGTTATCAGCCATAAAATGAATGCCTAAGTAATTCATTTTAATTAAGAAGAAATAACCCTTTAAATAAAATGGCTGGAACTGCAATGCTTGAGATTTCCTAACAGCCAAGGAAGGCGATGCTAAGCACTCTGAGATGTGTACTCGTAGCTGGTCTATAAACCACTTATTACCTGCCTACAATGAAAGAAGGTGCTTTTTCTGGCATCTAAACCAACACATTGCTTCTTTCAAGAAAGTCCTGCTTAAAAAAAAAATTCAGGTGAGCTAAGCACGTGTTCAGCAATGTAGCTGCTTGAATACTCTGGAATAAACTCCTTACAGTGTAGTCCACTGCTGCAAACCCTTCAAACTGGCACCAGTATGTAGACTACGTTTTGAATAGCATTGTTCTAGATCTTAAAAGCAGAGATTTCAAAAAATTCAGAGAAAAAGGAGGCATAATCCATTATTTAATTCATCTTTGCATTTTTAGCATCTAGCAGAGTAATGCGTGGTATATGTTCCACACTTTTGTGAAGAGATGTTCAAGGAAGATTTGACAGCATATTCTAAAAAGTGAAATTCTGATCATAAAACTATAGTGTCTACTAGAGAGGAAAAAGAATAATTTAATTAAATAATGTGATTTTACAGGAAGTCTTAGGTGAGCTCAGATAGTAAAAGGTATGAAAAGCAGGAACACATGACCAAAGAATTTAAGAGTAGCAAAATTTCTGCTTTCAGTCATGGTGTTTTTCCACAAGAATATTTACTCTTTTGCCTTACACAACTGGAAAACTGGACAAAATGTATGAAACAACAGCTTTCAGACATTGAACAAGCATCCCAGGACAGTGACCCCTGAGAGAAGGCAATCTGTAAGTGCTTTAGCTCACTGCCTGAAAAGACTTTTCAGGCTGTAGTATGAGGAGGAGGAATCCAGATTGAACCAGGTAGTCTCACTGAGTTGAGAAACAAAGTTCAGAATTCAGAAAGGCTAGGCGTCTAGAATTTGTGGATATAAAGTACCAGAGAGGAGGCAGCTGCAGAGAGACAGAGAAGAAACTGAGGATCTGCTGAGAGGTCTCCTTGAGTCTTGGACCGAGTAGTCATCTGACTCCTGTGCATGTGAGCAAACTACGAAGGCCAGGGAAAAACTACCAGAAAGGAGCAGGCAGAATAATCATTAGATCTTACACTGGGACAGAACAGTTTGTGTTCTCATCAGCCGTAGCGGAAAGACATCCTAACACATGCAACATCAAGTCCATCAATAATCTCAGAAGGTATTAGGTACTGCCTAAATAGCAAAGCCAAACCAAACCAGACCTAGACCACAGGCTCTTCCAGACCAGCCTAATAAACCTAAAAGGAACACTGAAAGAAAAAAAAAGATTGGGAAATTAAACTGCATCTCCTCACCCCAAGACAAGACAGGAAGAAAAGGAGAAAGGGAAGAAATTAAGCCAACACATATATACACCGTGGAATACTGTGCAGTCATAAAAAAGAATGAGTTCATGTCCTTTGCAGGGACAAGGATGAAGCTGGAAACCATCATTCTCAGCTAACACAGGAAAAGAAAGCCAAACACCGCATGTTCTCACTCATAAGTGGGAGTTGAACAATAAGAACATGGGCACAGGGAGGGGAACATCACATATTGGGGCCTGTTGGGGGGTGGGGGGCAAGGGGAGGGATAGCATTAAGACAAATACCTAATGTAGATGACAGGTTGATGGGTGCAGTAAACCACTATGGCACGTGTATACCCTGTGTAACAAACCTGCATATTCTGCGCATGTATCCCAGAACTTAAGTATAATAATAATTTAGAAAGAAATTAAGCTGACAATGTAAAATTCAGTGTCTGGCATTCCATAAAAAATTACCAGAGACAAAGAATGTATAAGACCTATAATCAGGAGAAAAAAAAAATCAATATAAACAGATTCAGAAATGACACAGAATTCAAAAGTTATATATATGACAGAATCATAAGACATGGATATTATAACAGTTGTTTAAAGAGCACTCTATTCAAGAAGATAAAAAGGAAAACGTGACTATAATGTGGAAAAAAATGGAAGATATAAAAAAGACCCAAGTCAAACCTCTAGAGAAGAAAAATACACTGGGCCAGGTGCCATGGCTCACTCCTGTATTCCTAGCACTTTTGGGAGGCAGAGGCGGGCAGATCACCTGAGGTCAGGAGTTCGAGACCAGTCTAGCCAACACAGTGAAACCCTGTCTCTAGATCTTAAACACATAGATTTCAGAGAAAAAGGAGGCATAATCCATTATTTTAGAACTTAAAAAATTAGCTAGATGTAGTGGCACAAGCCTGTAATCTCAGCTACTCGGGAGGCTGAGGTGGAAGAATTGCTTGAACTTGGGAGGCAGAGGTTGTAGTGAACCGAAAGTGCACCACTGCACTCCAGCCTGGGTGACCGAGCGAGACTCTGTCTTAAAAAACAAAAACAAAAAAAAACACTGAATTAGAAACTGAACAAGACGACTGGTACACTTGGAGACATAGTAGTAGAAACAAACTCAAATGAGACACAGCAAAGTCTGAGAGTAAGAAATGTATCAGTAAGCAATAGAACAACATCAAACAGTCTACCAACACGTGTAACTGCAGTTACAAGAAAACGGGGGAAGGGTGACAGAAAAATTAAATTTTTTTGGACCTGTGGACCAAATCCACTTGATTTTATAAATAAAGTTTTATTGTAATACAGCTACTCTCATTCATTTACCTATTGTCTGTTTTCATGCGGTAAGAGCAGAGTTGAATAATTGCCACAGATCATATGGCCTACAAAGCTAAAAAGATTTATTTTTCGGCTCTTTGCTGAACCCCAATTTATACATTGGAATGAAGAACACTGGAATGGAAAATGTGTGAGTAAACAAACTTTTCTCATTTTTAATATCTTTAAAAGATAATTGACTATAAAGCAAAAATAACAAGAACTGGATATTTTTGATATCCAAGAATTGGATTGTGGGGTTTACAACGTATTTAAAAAGTGAAATATATAATAACAATAGCTAAAAGGCTGGCATGGGAAAAATGAAAAGTTTTAATGTTATACATAAAGTGGTATCATTTGAAGGAGACAATTTAAAGAAATATACTATAATCCCTAAACCACTAAAAAAAGAACAAAACTACCAAGCCAATAAAGGAGATAAAGATGGAATTTTAAAAACCTCACTTTAAAGGTAGGAAAAGAGAAAAAAGGGCATAAGACCAAATGGACAAACAAAACAAATAGCAAAATAATGTATATTAACCCATATCAATTGTCACCTTAAGTTGTCCAAACATTCCAATTAAAAGAAGAGATTGTCAAGATTGATAAGAATGCAAAACCACACCACGTATTTACAAAATTTTATCTATCTACATTTTTATGTTTTTGAAATGGGGTCTCACTCTGCTGCCCAGACTGGAATGCACTGCTGCAATCGCCACTCATTGCAGGCTCAACCTCCTGGGTTCAAGTGATCTTCCTGCTTCGGCCTCTCAAGCAGCTAGGATCACAGGTGCACACCAGCACACCCGGCTAGTTTTTAAAAAAATTTTTGTACAGACAGGGTCTCACTATGTTGCACAGGCAGATCTCAAACTCCTAGGGTCAAGTGACCCTCCTGCCTTGGCCTCTCCAAATGCTGGGATTACAGGCATGAGCCACAGCACCCAGCCAAGAAACCTATTTTAAGTATAAAGATACAGATAGGTTAAAAGTGCTAGGATGGCAATAATATGCCCTGCAAAGGCAAATCAAAAGAAATTTGGAGTGTCTTTATTCATATCAACTACATAGATTTCAAAGCAAAGAATATTATGAAAGATAAAGAGTAAATTAATAATGATAAGTGGATTGATTCATCCAGAGAGCATAGTAACCCTAATTAACAGAGCTTCAAAGTTCTTGAAGCAAAACCTGTTAAAATTGAAAAAAGAAAAAGACAAATCAACTACTATAATTAGAGAGTTCAACAATTATCTCTCAATAATTGAACAATTAGAAAATTAGTAAGGATATAGAAGATTCAAACAACACTATTCATCACCTCGACCTGATATTATGAAATACTTTACCTATCATCAGACTATATACATTGTTCTAAAGTACAGATAAAGCATTTACAAAAATAGAGCACATTGTAGGCTATAAAAGTGTCAAAAATTTTAAAGAATTAAAATTTATGTTACTTGATCACAACAAGTTAAATTAGAAATAAATAATAGACATCTGGAAAACCCCCAAGTATGTGGAAATTAAACAACATAATTCTAGATAACCAATAGGTCAAGAAGAAAATTCACAAGGGAAATTATAAAATATTTTGAAATGAATGAAAATGAAAATGCAACATATCAAAATTCATGGGATGCAGCAAGAGCAGGGTTTAGACAGAAAATTGTATCACTAAACACATATTAGGAAAAACTATAAAATGAATGATCTAAGGTTTCAATTTGAAAAACTAGAAAAAGAAAATTAAGCCCAAAGTAATCAAATGGAAGGGA